CATGCGGAATCCATGTTTGTTCAATAGTGAGCCTGACACCAAGTTCTTTCGTATGTCCGGCACATACAACACATCATTCAGCGTGAGCTCCTTGCCGGATGTCATCTTGAGCTTAACTTTGCCCACGCCTTGAACCTCGGATTGGGCGGAGTTGCCCATCCACACCTTGTCGCCAGAAGTCTCCTTAAAGTCAAAGAGCATGGCCCGATTGGAGCAGATATGATGAGTGGCTCCGGTGTCAACCCACCACTCTTTCGGGTTAGACCCGACCAGGTTGACCTCTGTCACGACAGCACAAAGGTCCATAGAATCTAGCTCCGAGCAGAGAGCTTCTTCCTTCTTCTGCTTCTTCTTCTGAGGCTTCTTGCGGCACTCTAAAGAACGGTGTCCCGTAATGCCACAGTTATAGCATTTCCCCACGAACTTGGGCTTCGCGACGCCTCCTTTAAGACCTATTTTCTTCTTGTCCTTATTTGGCTTGGGCCCTTTGGAAGAACCCTCTTTGGGTGGATGCTCCACCACACTGGCCTTAGCAACAGCTACTTTCTTCTCGCGAGTGAGACCCTCTTCACGGATCCGGAGACGAACAAGCAACTGTTCTAAAGTCATTTCTTTCCGTTTGAGCTTGAGATAGCCCCAGAACTCATCCCAAGCTGGCAGGAGCACATGAATAATCGCCGCCACTTGGAATGCCTCACTGACTCCCATTCCCTCTTCAGTGCACTCATTAAAAATGAGGATCAACTCTTCAGCTTGACTAACCACGGGTTTGGAATCCACCATCTTAAAATCCAAGACCTTACCGACAACGAATTTCTTCGCACCAGCGTCCTCGGCCTGGTATTTGTTGGACAGTGTAGTCCATAACTCCTTTGCAGATGCGGCCCTGCTATAAACAGCATATAAGGCATCGCTCAAGCAAGTCAGGATAAGATTAAGGCACGTATAGTTATTCGTTATCCATGTCTCTTTAGCCTGAATTGTTGGCTCGTCCGCGTTCTCCCCCACAACAGGGGGATCCTCTCTCAAATACCTCGCAAGGTTGAGGGTGTTCAGCCAAAATAAACTCCCTTGCTACAAGTTTTAAAGCCAACACTGTGAACATTGCCGGTTCTTTGACAGAGTTCGCAGGTAGCATAACAGTAGGATGTCCGACCGGTGCGGATGTGAAGACACCTGTGTTCGGTCCAAGTGAGGGAATGACTGGTATGGCCGAAGCCATATTCGGTCCGAGTGGGGTGACCACTGCGGCCGTAGCCGCGGTTGGTCCAATAACCGAGGTGACCGGAGCGGACCCCATAGTCGCGCTCGATCCAACGAAGGCGGTGATCGGAGTGGACCCCATGGACGCACTCGATCCGAAAGGAATGTTGATCGGAGTGGTCTGCCCAACAGAGCCACCCAATCCAGCCGAAACGTTCACAACCGGAGTCTCGGAACTACACTCGTTTCCGGTGTGAGCGTCAAAACCGAATCCGTCCATACCCGCCATTGCGCACGGATATGACTACTACCTTAAGACTGTTACAATTCTCGTACGAATTACGACGGACGGGGAAGATGAACGGCCCCGAAAATAAAAAATAAATAAAGTTCTGAATTTATAATTTATTCAGAATATTACAAAATAAACAAAGTTGGAAAATAAAAATGTATATCTTCAAATGGCCTTGTTGTACGAGGACATTAAGCACTGGATAGCAAGGACGTTAAGCACTGGACAGCGAGGTCATTAAGCACTGGACAGCGAGGTCTTTAAGCACTGGACAGCGATTCAAAGATGTTATGCACAGGGCTGTGAGGTCATTATGCACTGGGTTGCGAGGACATTATGCACTAGGACAGAATGCAGCGAGGTCTTTATGAACTAGTCCTGCAGAGAAAACACCACGGAAGGACAGCGGAGTCGCCGGAGCTGTCCTTAAGGTAGTAGTGTCCGCCTACCGTACCGGAAAAAACGTGGGCACTCTCCTCCCAGGATAAAACCGCTATCGTGTGTGGTGATTGTACGGACCAACCACACACCAACGAACAAAAACAACGTAGGAACGTTGGCGACCGGAAAAATGAAGGTAATCGCCGGAAAAATTGGCAAGAAAACCAAGAGCTCTCCTCAAAGTTAAACAAAGACAAAAGTGTAAACTTTTTCCTTCTCCTCTTTTACTTCCCACGTATGGATGCTCTCAAAAAAAATGAGAAGAGTCCCTCCATTTAAATAGGCATTTTCATGGCTCTTCATTTTGTAACTTATATGCCATGAAGGCACATTCAATAGTCATGACTCACCATCATTAGTAATATTTTTAATGGTGTGTTAATACCACCATTAACATGGGGGTTACACCCATAATGTTTAAAATTCTTCCTATTTAATTGGAGATTAATGGCCAGTTAACTCCGTAAAAATGGAATAATTTTAAACATTACGTAACGGGTTAACTCTGAGAATCAATTTCTCGTTCACCCTTCTACCATTTTTGCCGTATAATATATCAAAATATTTATCTCATTTAAGAGAACACACGTCCATTAATTAACGGTTAAAACCGTTAGTGGACCTATTGATAATTATACCCAAGTTGGTCCATTTAATGCCTATTAAAATGCCAAAAAGTCCAACATGTTACACATAGAAATATTCATTTTATTATATATGAATATTTTGATTATATATTTTGTGTGCATTATATATGAAAATATTTTGTGTGGATTTAATATAGATATGTTCATTATAATTTATGGAAATAACAATATTGTTGTTATGGAACGAAAAATATAATGGAAATAATCATATTATGAAAATAATAATGTAATAAAGAAAACAATACACACACACACACGTTCACCTTTTAATATATTAGAGACAATATCTTCACACACACACACACATCTGTGTGTGTGTGTTAGGGTTCATTATTATTTATGAAAATAATAGTTTTATGAGCAAAAATATAATGGGACGAAAATTATATATTACTTAAAAATGATATAAATATGGAACGAAAATTAATGGGATGAGAATAATATTTTACTTTAAAAATGATATATATGTGTGCGTGTGTGTGTGTGTGTGTGGTGTGTGTGTGGAACAAAAATATAGCGGAAATAATACTATTATGAAAACGATAGTATAATAGAGACCACATTTCCATATATATGTGTGTGTTCATAAATATGCTAGAGACAGGATTTCCACACACACAGACACATATACGTGTGTTAATATTTATGAAAATAATAGTATTATAGAACGAAAATATAATGGGATGAAAACAACATTTTAATTTAAAAATGATATAAATATGGAATGAAAATATAATGAAGATGGGTATTAATAATAATATATACTATTACATTCCATTTCATTTTTTAGTTTCCTTTGGTCTAAAGTGAGTTTAATATAATACAAAAATAATTATAATAGTATTATTATTTATAATAATATAATAGTAATAATAATATTAATAGTATTATTGTATATAGAAATTTTACAATACATTAAAATTACCATACCTAAAATTTAACTATGTTTAGAAACATAATTTTTTGTTATATATATTGTGTGTGTTATATATGGAAATATTGAATTTGTTAATATAATCTATCTATACTCTACTTAAAAGCAAGGGAAATCTTGCCCAATTTTTTCCCGCCCAAACGCGGATGCATATTGACCATAGATTATTGGTCCAACTTGATCAACGGCCGTGAATTATGTATTGAGAAACGCAGGAAACATAACAATTAATTCCTTCCTTTTACGGAGATCTCTTCCCCAATTAACTGAACTAAATACTCTATTTATTAATGTTCTTAAATAAAATTATAAACCAGATCTAAGCCATTTTTACTAAACCTGTGATGATGGCGATTGAGGGTGTGTATTAAGGTTCTGCTTTTTTTATTTATATTTACCGATGGAGTCAGAATTTTACCATTTTTTTGGCTTTAGGGTGTGATGGAATAAATCAAAATGGATCTTTAAACTGTCTGCACTTTTTTAATTAATGAAGTAGCAGTTAGTTAAGCAATGCAACTTTAGACGTTGAGCCGGGGGTCTCTTTGGAAACAGCCTCTCTACTTTCGAGTAGGGGTAAGGTCTGCGTACACACACCCTTCCCAGACTCTACTCTTGTGGGATTTAACTGGGTTGTTGTTGTTGTTGTTATTTATAGACGGATTTCAAGATTTTTTTGTGTATTGCAATTTCCAAATCTTACTGGATGCCCATTTCTACAGAGTATTAAAACTTTAAAAAGATCCTTTGTACTTTTTGGCGTTTAATTTTTATTGGCAGTTGATAGAATTTAGGATGGGTATGGACGACTGGATTGAGTAATAAGACACTTGGGTTGAACCACATTAAAAGATTGAATCCAATCAATTAGTTAGTTCAAGTCAAGAGCTTATTTACCGATTATTTTACTCTTGGACTTCCGATGTGGGATGCACTCTAAACTCCATTTTTTGAGCAGTGGAGTTGTTACAACCTTTAAACTCCATTTTTTGAGCAAAATAATAAATATAGAAAAGCCTCTTATGTTGAAATGAATGTATGTTTTAATCACTTTAGCTTTCATTACTCAAGCTCTTTCCTATTACATGTCCTCATTCCATTTAGTTGAGGTACAAGCTCAACTTAAAGAATCTTCTTCTCACTCACTCAGCTATACTTCTTAAAACATTCAAGGTTTGAAAATGTGTTTGCCTTTGAACTGGACAGTCAAGATTTCCAAGGGTAATCATGTTATTAAGTTTTTTCCTTTGCATTTAACTTTGGAAGTTCCTTTTTCCTTCCTTATGGTGATAGAGTTTACATATGTAGTGCGTGAGTGCCGAATGCAAGGTTATGAAGAGGTATTGTGTGTTGGTACAACCATGCCTTCTTTGTATGAAAATATGACGTAATTCTTTAATGCAAATCTGCCAGGTATATAGGAAGCAAATAAGAGATGGTATTTATACGGAGTATAAAGGAAACAAATGAATTTTGAATTAATTGTACCAATATAATTGCAAAAATAATTCATTCACTTTTGAAAAACTTTTGTATGTAGTACAAAAACATGCATTGAATCTTCAAAAAAAATCTATTATAGGAAAAATAAATGCTTATCCGATGATTCATTCCAAAAATTTAATATTTTTTTTAATGAAACAACATTTTAAAAGATTTGAAAGTGGTGTTACAATTTTTTACGTTCAGGGGAATAATTAGATTGAACTATTCGAAAAACAATGTGCTACTATTTTGTTTTGTATTAATATTTTCTTTAAAACAAAACTAAATACTCTTTAATGACTCACGAGACTATTTTATTCTCAAAATGGTATTACAAATAAATTTTCCGACATTCCATTACAATTCTTTTCTTGAAACGAAACGACCAAAGAAGTTGGGAGCCTATATGTTTTTAAAAGACTGACACAAATCTTCAAAAAGAGTGTACTGTTATATTTTCCGAAACATTATTTAAATTTAAAAACTTAAAAAAATTAAAAAGAAAATTTGTTTCAAGTAATCCCATTTTTCATTTTTTGATGCAAAATAAGCTCTTTTTCAAAAAAAAATCTTTAATCCACTGTTACATCTCTAACGATGATCCAAAACTTGCACACATGCAAAAAAATAAGATTATTACGCGTAATATTGAAAAGTTAGATTATTTTTGAAAATCGTGTCATTGTGAGATTATTTCAGATTATTTTCCCTTAAATTTTTTAATGCAACATATTTGTTCAAATTGGTATTTTGTAATCTAATTGATGTTCATATAATATTTTGAATTTAATGCAAATGTTCTAAATTTAATTTTTTTAAAATACATTTCTATTTGTATAAGTGGACCGATACATTTTTTACTTCATTATTAATTAAGTTTTAAAAATATATTTCTCAAAATAAACTTATTAAATAATTATATGTATTTCAATCCACTTTCACGAGTGGATTGAAATTTCTTTATTTTTTATAATTTTGATTTAATAAACCATGTTTTTGTTGATTCTACCATATTTCAATATCAACACAATCATATAATTTCATATTGAAATTATTGACCGTGCAATGCACGGGTGTTATACTACTAGAGAGAAAATTTCGATACGTATACATTCATTATTATTTATAGAATTAACAATATGGAAATAATAATATTTTAGAATGAAAATATAATGGGACGAAAACAATATTTTACTTTAAAATAGATACAAATTTCCGTTTTAAATTCATATAAATATAAATATGTAAATATAAAAAGATATACATATGAATTCATAAGGGTGGTAATAATAATAATAATAATAATATATTCATATATTCAAATAAATAATAGTTAAGTTAACGAGAATATAAAGTCGCGTAATAATAATAATAATACGGAGTAATAATAATATATATATATATACTTTTATATTTTGTTTCCTTTTCGGTCCCTTTGGTCTATAAAAACAGTTTCTCCTCCCATTGATCAAGACAACTATTTTCCGGATAGTATATTGACCTTTAATGACCATCTAATTTTCTAAACATTACAAACAACAATGATCTAAGAGCCTTTTTTAAGCTCCAAGCACGATTGCTAAAAGCTTTTCAGAAGAGCTTACTCTCAAGTTCATACTCCAAACACGGCCTTCGCTGCACTGTTTAAAATGGTCAAAGTTGAAGTGAAGC